AGGTATATGTCTCATTGTTGTAGCTTAAAAACTCTAGGAGGAGATAGGTTTGCAGTGACAATAAGTTAACTTTTCAGTAGAGCCCGTCAAAGTCCCGCGCGCATCGGAATAGGCACTCAATGTAGCAAGGATACAAAACTAAACGTTACTGGAGCTTGATTCCAGTCAAGGATGGTGGGAGCGACTGCATGCACACCTCCTCATACGACGCCAGGCGGGTAACTAAGGTGCACTTCAAGCAGACACTCTATTTAAAGTGCTCACAGCGAATTTCCTCCCATTCTATTTGTTAAAGAACTACCCCACCCCCTCCCTTTCATGATCTGTCGTGAACGCATAAATCAACGTACAGAGATGGTTTTGGTACCATTGGATAGATCAGAATGTCAGCTTTAAGATGAGACTAAAAACCAGAAAAGCCGAAATCCAAAATTTTACCCTAGACGCTCTCCTTACCTTGCCGCTCGTCATTATAAGCCATTTAATATTGGTCCGAACTACAATTTGCAGGGTTAGAGTGCCACACAATAACTAAAATGCTTTTTCTATCATGCCAGAAAATTTTGGCTTAGTTTTGTTAACAAAATAGATCATTACTTATAAAGGCCGGAAACAAAATGTGTTGTTGATGTTGCCTGTAACAAATTTAGTGGCATTGACAGTACAGTAGATTGATAGGGAAATCTCATTCAACATTTTAAGAGATCGTTTGTATACAAGCAAACATTTGCATTTCTCGTGGTTAATGAAGGAAAATTGAGATATATTACACTGCGCAGAATACTGAAAAACAAAGAAATTTATAATGGAGAAGATGGATTAGTCCTTGGTTTTTATGAAGCAATGTTCAAAAATTTAAATAAATTGGAAGACACGTGATAGCGCAGTAATGAGTAATCTTCCATGTCTGACTTGAGTTGAGAGCCTCACCAAAGTTCCCGCAGACAGCCCGCTCCTATTTACTATAGAAGAATACATTATATCAAGCATACATTATTTAGTTGCAAAGGAATGAAAACCAGTTCAACTCACCATTGGTTACGGTGCTTAAACAATTCAAAGATGTCTTATAACATGCACACCCACACATTAGCAAATCAGGGTGTCAACTGCAAGGTTGCTGACTTGCTTAGTTGTCTCATTACTCTCGTACTTGGTGTCGGTGTGCCATGGTGACAAACAAATTTCTTGCCCGACTCATTTTTAGACGCGTTCATAACTTCATAATTCACGTTCACTTTTTGTTATTTTACTACACTGGGCCCGATATGGCATGTATTAAGTATTTTCAAATTTGTTATGCTTGAATGTTCTACTTTTGATTTGATTAATGTTTTGTATCACAGGTTCACAATGGTAACCACAATGGCTTCCGATTGCTGTTGCCACAACGAGATCAAGAAGTATTAAGTAAACAACAACCCGTACCAAGGAATACCAGCTGTTACATGTTAGATTGGGATTCAGTCACTATATTATGGTAAACAAGTTTGATCAAATTTTGGTTATGTCAAATTTTAGCAATTATTTTCAGATGACAAGACATTTTTTACAGATAACCTTATAAATTTTGTCTAAACTATAAACTAGATACAGGCTTGTTAATCATAGAATAGCTTACTATATTACTTACAAAATTGACATTCATTTAGTTGGTCAAATTTGCTATCATGGTCATATATAACTTACGGAAACAAAAGACTAATGATATGCAAACTACAGCACAGCTCATTTAGATTGGTTGCTGTAATCTTTGGCGTCTTGAAATTTCATAACTGATATCAAAGATATTGTTAAATGAATGTATATGAAATTGATCAGGCCTTTTTATATTTACATCACGTGAGAGACGTCTCGGACAATGTCCGAGACATAAGTGAGAGTGAGCACCTTAGTTTCTTGTGTTACGTAGCCTCAAACTGAGGCTACGTAACACAATAGAAAGATTTAAAAAGTTTGTATATCTAATAGGTTAAAAAATTATAAATGTGACTCACAAAAAAGAGCTATTATTTAAAGCCTGTCGGAGTACCCCCTCCAATTTTTTCATTTCTTGATAAAATAACTCCAGGTTTTGATGCATTGTAGTAGAACTCTTCAAGTTACATATGCAAAAGACAAATTTTAGGAAAGTGTCATAGTTTGCAAATGGGGGCCGGGGGGTGTCACCCCCCAATGGGGTAACTTTGACCACCTAATGGCAGCCGTGATGGGGTAACATTGACCGGCTTGGAAATCAAGTTAAAATTACCATAGGTACCTATTTAACATATTTTTATGTTTGATACACCTATTAATGTTTTTTTCTTTATGTTTCAGACTCTACAGAGTCTTACATAAGGTAATTTTGACTTTATT